ACAAATACTAGCTTCCTGGGTAGTAGAAAGGCTATATGAGAATGCATTTGTATGCTTGCCCTGATTTTAGTGCCACTTATGTGTTGCCTAATATATAGACTGCGGCCCACTCTGATAATTGTAACTCCTTCCTTACATGGAAGGTTACACATTCCAACCTATTTCAAACCATCTGTATGATTATACTGGACACTTTCTGGGTAGTTGGACTTTCTATAGGGGTGGCAGACGGCCCTCAGACAAATGTATACCCCTACCCCCAAAAAACCATGGGGGTACTTTAATACCACTCAATAAAAAGAATACTAATGTATGTCAGATATTCATTGTTTTATATTGGGTAGGGCATGTTATGGTTAGTAAGTGCCAGAAAATTCCAATCTCTTACTGATATGGTTACCATAGAAACAGTATTTATATCTTGAAATATTCTCAATTTGACCCCCTCCCAAATGTGTCCTTTTGATCTCAAAGTGAAATATTTGCAAATCTGTTTGGATTTTATGGCTGCTTCTTTGTCAAAAATTGTATCAATATGTATATTTTAACATTTAAACACTGAAAAGTTTACATAATGATCCTATAAATCAATAATATTTATCAAATATAGTCACACATAGCTGCTTTTAGGGAAAAGTGGGCGTGGCACTTTTTGGTACGTGTGTACTTGTTGCAGCATTAAATGAAAAATACATATTATACTAACAACAATTGACATTTAATTAGCATCTACTAATGTTCTGTAACATTGTAATATGTTCATTATCATTATAAGACACTTTAAATATTTTATATAAGTGTTATCCTGACCCTTCCCTTTATCCCTACACCCTTCAAGGTTGGCATCACCAATCGTGTCAAGTTAACATTTCTTTTTGATTTATTTTTACCATAGACAAGGTACAAAAGCTTTACCAGGAGTACTGACCTTATTAGGTGGGTGCTAAACTGATGAATGGATAGGTAGATGGCAGCACTTTTGCTGGTTGGACTACACACTAGCATCTAATAGACACATATTGATTGACCATATTTGTTATTTTGGATTAAAGTAAAACTGCTTTTGCATCAAACTGAATGAGATTCAGATTGTGTTTGAAACTAGATGATCTTCAGATTTTGTGTGAACCTTAAATTCATGACAATCAAAGGAATTCAACATTTAGGATGTCAACATTAAGATTTTCAATGAGAATTTAGCCCGACCTTTTTCGGAAAGTTAAAGATTATAGAAAATTGAATATAATCAAAGTTCCTCAGTAGAACATTTAATCTCCTAAAATCACATTTAAACTATACTTCAGCAATATTTCCAAGCTAAATAGTATAAAAACTTCTATCACATCATTTGCAACGTTTTCATTATTCGATAGTTGAACCCTATATGAATTATTGATGATTTTAAAAGTGCAAGGAATCTAAATGATTCAGGGATGCCAGTGAAATGTATTTGCCTTATTCATTGTTGACTTGTACAATGAAATAGACTTAGATGCAAGGAGAAATAATCTTCCTTTTCATCATTAAAAATTCAAAATTCAGTCAAATAAGTGATATCATATTTGAAATCTTCAGGTAGAATTACATTTCTTCATGCAATAAGTTAACCTTTTAGTGAGTAGTGGTGACTAATGTAATCATGTACTTATATAATTTGTCAGTAAAAGTTATTTATCCTATACTTAGTGTTATAGGTAAATAAAATGCATGAATATAATTGATACCTTAGGTGAGTGGGGATATACATGTACTGCATATTCCGCTTTTTCCCATACTTGGACATGTTTCAGGTACATAAAGCAGGTTTGTAAAACTTATATTTCATCAGCTGGCGGATATAGCTTTACGTCCCGCTCCGAGCGGGCAGATATAGTATATCTGCTCAATACATCATAATCGCCCTCGGCCCTCTGGCAGATATATTGTATTTGCCTCAGGATAATCCCAATATCCTGAACCTCATATAGGATAACCTCCGTGTATCTCCAGGTTTATCACCCGCTCAGTAATCCCCTGCAGGAATTTCATTCTGTGCAATTTCTTATATTTTCGTATTTTAGTATATGATAAATCATTTTGGGTACAAGGTATAACCCTCGATCCCTCAGGGAGGTATATTGTATTTCCTTCAGATATATTGTATTTCCCTGTATCAGAAACCTCCCATTAATTAAACCTCATATATAATGCACACCATTTTAAATATGAATCAAAACTATGAATTAGTGATATCAATGTTTCTAACGAAAGCATGAATTTGAAAGAAGCAAACATTCTACTCATATGGTATAAAGGTATTACCAGTTGTGTCCATTTTAGATTTGATTGAAGAACTTGAATTAGAGGCAATTTTGAAATTACAATATATTAAAAGAGGCTCCATTGCTTAGATGGGAGAATCAATTAGCTGCATTGTTCAGTTTATGACAAAATTGATGTTTAGTGTTACTTTCATGAACACCTATCCTGTAAAATAACATTTGGAATCTAGTAGTTTGTATATAGATGAATAAGATTTATAAGGCATTGTCAAGGAAAAATATCCAACAAGATTACTAGTTTGCTCATGAAAGGCATACTTTAACTTGAAACAATTTGTTACACTCATTTTTTTGGGGTTTGGAGATTGAAGTTATAATGATGAAAAACAAGGAATTTTAAAATATTTATGTTTCACCAAAATTAGCCTTTGTTTTGTCTGTTTTATTCTCAAATAAATCATGGTCATCAATTCCATTGTGACAAAATCATCATTTACCAATTTTAAAATTAAATATTACTGGTTAGAGAATGTGATTTCTTACTTTAGGTTATATCTATATCCCGATTTATATGTATAATAATAATTGATGAAGACAAATAGAGATTATCCTCTATGAGGTTCAGGATATTGGAATTATCCAAAGGCCAATATAATATATCTGGCCAAGGGTCGTAGGTCCCGAGGGAAGATATGTTCTATTGGCCAAAGGCCTTAGGTCCTGAGGGAAGATATACTATATTCGCCAAGGGATTATCCTAATATCACAAATGTAACTACTTTTTTTGATTTCATACACTAAACAGATTTGTTTAGGAATTATTTGAAGTATTTCAAAAACATATACCGAACCACTATTGAAGGCATCATTGAAAATACAGCATATCAGAAACATGTGTAAATTGTTTATCTTGCAATTATTTTGCTAAACACTAATAGAAATTATACTGTACCTTCCAGAGAATAGCTTTTTTGTTAACTATGAGCCAATGAATGAATGGATTCATTTTATTATAACTGCAAAATGATGCTCTATGCAATTCATACGAAAAATTTATTTTGCCAGATTAGAATCAAGTATTATCTTTAATCCATGGTATGCATTGCCTGATGTTGAGGTATTGATAAAAGAATCAGCGAGTGTCTGACAAAATAGATCTTAGTGTTATGTATTAGGCAAAATATTAGGAAGGGTATAAATGGTCTCCCATCTTTCTAGTTTTGAGTATTTCATCTTCTTGCTTTGATTCAAATTATCCTCGGTCACTATTTGTAACCCCTCCCTCCTTTCCCATTTAGGCCATGGATATGAAGATGATTTAGAGGTTATGTGAAGGATATTAGGGAAGGGTTAATAGCAAGAGTTATATTAGTTCATTTAAGTTTAATCCAAGTCATAAATGTTATGCAATTCACACCAGCATTACATATCATACCGAAAGGATTGAACTGTTCATTATTACTTTTCAATTGCAGTAAACATGGTAAAATGGTTCTAAACATTGAACCCTGTTAAATAAACATATTAATTAATTGTAACTCATAGCTCTAGATGACTTAAACTTATCTATTCATATTCTAGGAACAAGTCAATGAATAAGTAAGACTTGACTCTTGACTGACTTAAAAGACTGAGGACCCTATAAGACTTAAACTAAAAGTTCATTTGACCATTGATGACCTATGATAGGGAAGGGTCAGGATAACACTTATATAAAATATTTAAAGTGTCTAACAATGATAATGAACATATTACAATGTTACACAACATTAGTAGATGCTAATTAAATGTCAATTATTGTTCGTGTAATCTGCATTTTTCATTTAATGCTGCAACAAGTGCACAAGTACCAAAATGTGCTACGCCCACTTTTCCCTGAAAGCAGCTATGTGAGACTATATTTGATAATTATTATTGATTTATAGGATCATTATATCAACTTTTAAGTGTTTTAGTGTTAATATAGCCATATTATTACAAATTTTGACAAAGTAGCAGCCATAAAATCCAAACATATTTGGAAATATTTCACTTTGAGAACAAAGGGACACATTTGGGAGGGGGTCAAATTGAGAATATTTCGAGATATAATTACTGTTTCTATGGTAACCATATAAGTTAGAGATTGGAAATTTCTGGCATTTACTAACCATTATATGCCCAACCCGATACAAGACAATGAATATCTGACATGCATTAGTATTATTTTTATTTGGTGGTATTTAAGTACCCCCATGGTATTTTGGGGGTAGGGGTATAAATTGACCCGAGGGCCGTCTGCCACCCCTACATGAAGTCCAACTACCCAGAAAGTGTCTCCCATAATCATACAGATGGTTTGAAATAGGTTGGAATGTGAAACCTTCCATGTAAGGAAGGTTGCATTTCTAGAGCACTTCTACAGAATGGGTTACAGTCTAATAAGAGAAATCTATGAATCACCTTTGTTGCCCCCCCCCTCTTATCTTGTAGAGGATGGTTTTATCTATTACTCTTACTGGAATTCGGATCCCTGTTTTCGGATCCCTGACTTGTGAGACCTGTGTGATCTGAACTCTACTCGGAATTATGGTGTTTGGATTTGCAGGGCTCCATGTAAAGATACATTGAATTCAACTGGAAAATAAAAAATGGGAGAGTTGTTCAGAAAAGAGAGGTGTTCCAATATAAAGGTTTTACTCTGTTGTATTGTGTACACCAATATCACTAAATAAATCAATTTTTTAAATCTTATTTCAGCTTTGATATGTGACAACCCCAAGGGCTGTCCTCGGCGCTGTGGGGGACAGGGGGACATCTTGTCTGGAGCTATGGGGACCTTCCAACACTGGGCAAACATGGCTATGAATAAGTAAGTCATTATAGTGAGACTACGTCTAAAGTGAATCCTGAAGGAACAGTTTCTCATAGGTGTTTTCAGATTAGAAAAAGCAATAGATATGGTGAATAATCCATTTAAATCAGAGATAAACAAATATATTATTGAGAATTATGTGTCTTTTATCAGTACATGTATTTTCAAAAACTACAGAACTACAAAACAAATATTTTCACCAATGCTTGCTTTTGACCTTTTAGAGAAAAAACAGGCAGAACATGTGTGGAGGAAAGTTTTGAGAACAATATTAAGCAAGGGTTACATGAAAACTTATACAATATCACTTTTATCTTATGTTATTTAGTTTAAATAATATTGAATTCAAATGAAAAGTATAGATATCTGAAGTTTTATATATGTGCCCTTTTATTTAATTAATTTTGTTTCAATCTAGTTTCTAAAAATTATTGTGGGAAATATAAGGGATGAAAATTATTGCAATTTACATGAGAAAATCAGAACCATAATCTGTGGAACAATTTATGATTCATGAAACATTAAATTAATCCTCAATTAACCCTTTGATGTAGTTTCCATGTTCTTGTCATGCTAGAATGCAGTGTGTCGTGACCTAATTAGATGTACAATTACTGGACATAGAGTTTTAATCACCTTAGAACAATGGCAATTAATATTAGTTGATGGCTTAATTTGTAATGTTGGACAGCATGTTGGACAGTATGATTTGTTACAGATAAAATATTGGAACAAAATTTCTCTTTACTAATATGCAATTTTGAATACCCATTGTTCAGAATTTTGGGCCCATTTTGAAAATTAGCACCCATTAAAAAATTTTGAGTCCTCATTTTCAAAATCGAGGCCCTTTTTCCTAGTGTGAGGGAAGCCACCTTTCATTTCTGTAGGCTTCAGAGTGGCTTTCCTGGTTACAGGCATATACTATGAAACAATCCTTGATAGTTAATGAGATTAGCCAAGTAGAGGGGCACAGTATACAAGTAAAAGTGAAGTATTTTTAGTTAACATATATGAATCTGTTTACAATATATATTTTAGTGGAATAATTATAGAGATAACTCACATTAATGACAAGAGGCAAACTAACAATGTTCTTTTAACTTTGCAGGCCCGTTGTAAATGAGACTGGCCCTGCACTAGTAGGGGCGTATGCGGCATGTCAACTTACAAGATCTGTTGCGCATTGGACATTCTCTGATAAAGGACGGAGCATGATGACCTCTGATATGATTGACTATTTAAGTAAAATCCGTATTGATTCATGCTGGCAATAGCTCCAGGTAAATACTCTTGATATTTTACATTTGCAGACTTGCCAATACATAGTGGAGTCAGAGGCTAGAGTCATGTCTCATTTAGTCTCATTTAAGATTGTGCCATCCACACAAAGTGAATTGGTTTATTAATGTGTAGTTTCCACATCCCAGGAATGCAATGAGCTCATGCAGCTAACAGTATGATGGGGGCAACATAGGCACAATCAGTATCTGTGCATTGGTTCAAAATGTCATAGATATGTATAAATGTATAATGTTGAGCCCCTGTCAGATTAACTTTCAAGTGAAGGATTTTTTGAATAATTTAAAGATTTTGAAAAATTATAACATTAAAATGTTTGAGCCTCTGAAAGAAGCCTAATATTCAAACTACCTTATATGGATAGCTTTGGGCAAGATTGGTATCAGTTAGGAAGAGCATCATGCCTCAGAATGCATGAAAATGGATTAGGCTAGTATCTGAACTGTTCCAATTACACAGAACAAGCATTCCTATTTCTAATACTCATCACATCATTCTGTTTGGCTAGAATTGGAAATTGAAAGAACTGAAACCTTGTGAATCAAGATTTGTGAGACTCATAACAAGAAATTCATAATAAGCAAGCAGGTTCATTTCTGCTATAATAATATTACAGAATGAGACCAGGTAGAGAATAACATTACAGTGAAGAGTATGTATTGTGATGTAAGAATTGATTGAATTAGTTGACTTAATTGCCTTATCACCATGTGTGAAATCATGCTATAAGAAGATGAAGCTTTGGCATTCTCCAAATGCAGGGCTTCAAACATTATCTGAACAAAGTGAATGGTGTGTTCTAAAATTGGAGGATGAGGCTTGGCTTCCAATGAGTAAAAACTTTCTCTTGTTGTTTTAAAACAGAAAATGGAGTGGGAAATAGTAGAATTAGGAAGGAATGATTAAAAAAGATTAAAAAAAAAATTGAAATTTAAGACATTTATGTTGTTTGTTTAGATAGAAATTACTTGAATTTAGTAATAGGATTGAACGGTAATCAAAAAATGGTGATATCAAGAAAATGTGAACGGAAGCCCAAAACTCAAAAAAGAAAAATGTTTGAATCATTGCAATCTTTTCATCTATTCAAATCTCCATTTTCCTGAGTTCATTCTTGGTTTGATGATTGAAGGTTTCAAGTGAAGAAACCATTACCCAATATATGATATAACACATGAATTGATCATCTGCTGGTTTTAATTGGCCGAATCTGGTCAAACATGGGCACTATGAAGTAAGGGAACATGGAACAATTTTTATCATCATATCTAGAAAATATTACTGGAAAAAATCTATAGGAATTAACACTTTTTGTTACATATTTCTGATATTAAACATTTTCCAGTACATTCAGAACCAAAATTATTGTGTCAATTTGGACCTATTATTCAAAAGATTAAGCCCATTTTCTTTAGAGACCCATTTTAAAAATAAATAGTAAGTCCTATTAAAACAATACCTGATATTTGTTTTATTGTTATTTTCTATTGTTCTCATTGCATTCATTTTGATCCTAGCATTAGCAATCACAACTCCATATTTTGACCATTTGCATGAAATTGCTACTTCTCTGATAAGCATAGAGCTAAACTGTCATCATATCAATTCATTATGAATGATGCATGGTAGCATTTGATTATTAAGGATTTGCCCTTTATCTCATTAATTGAATTCACACCTGAGAAGGTAGAGGTTTTGAGTGTTTAATTGGTGGTATTCTTATTATCACTCTGTACCCTGAGGCCCAGACTCTAGTTATGATTACTCAACTCTGAATATAAAAGATAGATTTTCAGTTTAGATGCTGTAGGGTAGGATCTTAAATGAAAGTAAAATGAGTAAATAAAACTAGTTGCAGTTTCTAATGACCACATTTCTGATTAGGAAGCTAGATTTTGATTGACCCAATCTGATTGGTTAATTGTAGATCAGAGAAGGATCTCTTCTTCAGAAGGATTTATTGAAAAGGGTGTTCCCTGGAGGTTGTTACTCAAGGACAGAAACATTTGCACACACACCTAATCCTCAGAGTGATTGATTGATGTACAATTATCTTAGGCATATGAAAAAGGACAAAAGGGTAATACTCATAGGAGATCAATAATTACTTAGTGGATTAAACTCCAAAAATTAGATGGAAATGTGCTACTGAATTTTTTTAATAAAATCTATTTCTTTTAGAGTTTTACCTCATATGGTTCAAGCCTAACAGACTTTTTATTTTTATTACCAGAGTAGCCATAACTTGTTATCTTGAGTGGCTGCAAAACATATAACTATAAACAATAAGATCTTAGCCTTGTTATGTTATGGTCTCTGCTCATGCTTATTTCATTCAATATCTTTGAATGGGGTGTCTGATTTTATTGCATTTTATATACTTTGTGTTTGTTCACATTATTCTTTCATTTGTATTTTTATATATTTTGCAATCTAGAACCAATCTTAGCCCATCAATTTACTTCTTGGCATGTATCAGCGTATAGCAATCTTTACAGATGAGTTTAGAGAAGTCATACTTAGATGTTTTTGTAAAATAGTATATGTCAACATTTTTGTGCAGTTACAGTATAGAATACATAGTAGTTATTGATATATTCCCTTATATTCCTCCTACTTTTGCATTAGAGCATGGCCCCCATATGAATTGTTCCAAGGCTGGTTGTGATAGCAATTCTTGCTTATATAGTAAACAATAGGGTCTGGCACTGAACGTGTTCCTGTTTCCATTCATACCACTCTCCAATGTAATTGTTAGATACAATGTTGTACACAAGCCTTGGTGGTCTTTGAGTAGGATTTAAAAAAATCAAATTACAATGTGAGAACCGAAAATGTTCAAAAACCTTGCATTTATATGTGTACCCAATTGGGTCCTGATATAATTATCTGTTTATGAGGAGAATTATTGTTAGGATTATAATTGTAAATTTTACTATTCTATGTGTCACCACCAAGAGGTAGTCACATTGTTATAGATTAGTCAAATGCTTGTTATAGAGTAGTCCCATTGTTACAGATTAGTCACATAATTGTTATTGAGTAGTCACATTTTTGTTATGGAATAGTCACATTGTTATATAGTAGTCACATTATAATACAGTAGTCAAATAATTGTTATAGAGGGAGTCACATTGTTATAGAGTTGTCACATAATTGTTATAGAGTAGTCATATTATAATAGAGTAGTCACATAATTGCTATAGAGTAGTCATATTGTTATAGAGTAGTCACATAATTGTTATAGAATAGTCACATTATAATAGAGTTGTCACATAATTGTTATAAAGTATTCTCATTGTTATAGACACGTCACACTTTTGTAACTCTTTGCAATAAATTACCAGGTGTTGCAATTTTGTAGGTAATCAGAAACATTTCAGGGGAGGCTCCAGCACCAAGGCTAATTGGCTGTATTAGAAATGAATGAAGTAGAAAGTACTTAGGGCAACATTTGAAGATCTCTGAACAGTTGTACTATGAACATGTAAAACAACTTCTCAATAAAGTGATAAGATCAGCAATAACAGGCAAAATACCACCAATGGTGCAAACATTGTGCAAATTGAGATGATCCTACTTGGATTCATTGTACTTTGTTTTGTCAGCTGCTCCAGTGCCTCTTGCATGGTCATATACATATACCATATGTTTGACATACCAGATAGTTCAGGACTTGGAGGTCATGCTTGAAAATGCAAAACAAAACAGGAATGGGAGAAATCAGCAAGGAATAAACCAAACAGGCATGAAGTTAATACTCTAAATTATATAAAAATATAAGAAATTATGCCATCTCTGAAAACTGTCATGGAGAAATGAATGAAATAAGCATGGCTTGAGGGATATTTTGAAGCAATTATGACATCAGAGATGGGACAGGTGCTGGACCAGATCTCTAAGAACCTAGACCACCAGAGTGAACAGATATCTGCCTTATATTATAGAGATGGATTGTTGTGTAATATGATTTCAAATTTGTTCAGACTGACGTTTTTATGTTCTATGCAATGAATGATATTGTCAGAAAAATTGGAATGTCATCCTGTTACTTTTGTTAACAATTAAAATAGTTTATTTTGTATATACATGTAAGCAACACTATTTAACAATAAACAATGATAAATAACAACAAACATTACTAAACAATAAAAATTAAACTTCAATAGTTCATTTTTGTGTAATTTTGCCATCTGGTTGCTCAAAATGCAACAATTTCAAAACACAAATAAAATAATATTTGATATTTGTTTTATGTTGAATGTTTACAAAATATTTGACGGGTGGTCTATTTGATTCAACAAATGTAAAGATAATATTGGTTTTGAACAGAATTAACAATATTAAGCCATTTTTTAGCAAGGGGAGCACTTTAGTCTAGTCCTTTGCTGTAATGGGTTTAATAAAACAGAATTCAGTGAAGAAAACATTCCTCTCAAGCATTTGATAAAGAGGTGTTCTGATAAATCATCTCCTGATCTCAGGGATTACATTGATGAGGTGCTGTTTGAGAATTTGAAAAATGACTTCAAACCCATTGAAAAAGATTTAACACCCAGTTGAGAATATAGAAATCTTCAGAAAATGAATTATGATTTTCTTGTGGTATTACATAGGATAAGAACCAGGGCAATGATGGCTCAGTATAAAGGGAATGAAATAGGCATATTTTCACCAGTTTCAGAATTCCTTAATCAGAATTGAAGAAATAGAACATTAAATGTGTAGGATAGTCTACTACAAAGAGTACTATTGCAATCACCTGACATTTTTCTTAAGCTTAATGCACAGATAATCCAATTAATTTTTCATTTCACCCTGCTCTTGATTCCCAAATCCACCCCTGTTATTTCATTTTGAATAATATCATAGAGAGAGAGCTAAGTATTACAGGCCTCTTAGACATCCGCACACATGGTCGTCAGTTCTGACCTTGCTATATCCATGGTCATTCAACCCAAACCAGGTTCTCACAATGCGAAAAACAGTTCTTTAAAAGCGAACCACCAGTTCCGCTCTCCTGAACATCTTTTCTCCACTCACGCATTGCGAAGGTATGTGGATAGCGCCCCCTAAGTGGAAGTCTAGGAGGCCTTTATGAGGCAAGCTCCCAAACCCCTGTCATTTTATCTTGAATAATATTAAAGAGAGAGAGAGTTAGTATATAAGTCAGGCAGTCTGCAGTGTAGGCCACTAGCTGTATGGTTCATTGATGCAACACTATCAGACATTGATAGCTCTCTATATCAGTTCTGCTTGTAAACATACATCAAAACTGGCACTTGGAGTAAACAACCCTAACCAGCAACTTACTACATTATTTTATTGGCTATATCCTGTACATGTACATATGCATACAAGTTGGGTGTCTCTTATCATTTACTTCACAGTCAACTTTTATGAGGCTCTCATTTTTTATGAGGCTCTCATTTTTTTAAAGCAAAGGCTTTAATTCTTCAGGAAGAGCCAAATGATTGCCTGTTTATAAAATAAATAAACAAGAATTTTGGCTCGAATTTTCTGAATTTTGTGAAAAATCCTTAAAAGCATATTTTTCAATTAAAAGTAAGTTAGTATTAAAAGTAAGTTAGTATTACCTCAGGCTGGTATCAAAGATTTGTCAGCTTTGGCGGAGCATGCTATTTTTCATAAAAACACTACGAATACTTCACAATTTATTTTTTAACTCATGTTCCGTTATATCAAAGAAAATTACTCACTCCATGCAATGGATATATCATTTGCAGGTAATCTTCACTTCTGTTTGAAGTCCAATAACGCTAGGAGTAAAAGCTATTGAAAATGGCACCATGTACCATTTATTTTATAATTTATTATTATTATTATTTATTTATTTATAATTATATAAAAGTTCTGTGATTAATTCCTGCGATTATGTTAAGTAAAATGATACTGCAATATACGTTGTACCTACCCTTAAGAAAAAAGCCATGGTAACCATGGTACGTCCATGGTAATCCATGGAAATTCATGGTACGTCCATGGTAATCCATAGTTTTCCATGGAAATTCATGGTTTTTCATGGTATTTTCCATGGAAATTCATGGACACCCATGGTAATCTTCCATGGATATTTATCATGATTTTCCATGGTAATTAGTGGTTTGGTAATTGTTTTTTCATGGATGTGTCATGGTTTTTACCAGGACACACAGAGATCCAAGTTGGACTGAGACTTATCAGTGAGAAAAAAGGGTGGACATTTCATGTTATTTTAGGAACATATTAAACTCAGCTTCCTTACAAATATGTAAAAATTATGTAACTTTTCTAAAAAGAAATGTGATAATGCAGTTAATGCAGCACGGAGTAGGCCACAAGATTTCAAAGAGAAATATGTATTGGGCTTTTGTGTAGATCAAGACTAGATACAGAGACAGAGATTCCTTATTTTTTAGGCCCAAGACTTCTAGTCTTTTGGAAAGATTAAGTCAAACTAGCCCTACCTCTGTTTTGTTTTCTTATTGTTTCTTTAATATTCAGTTATGAAAATTAAAATTGAATAATTTCAAAAATAGATATTATAACTCTTTTCCTTAAATTACATTCTTACATTTTAGAATGCAATAAAAACCATGGTTTCTTTCTTTGAAGTTGAGGAAACTGCAATCAAAAGCCATGGAAGTCGGTTGATTGCAATCGAAAGCCATGCTTTTCCATGGTTATTTCTTTGATGTTTTGGAAAGTGCAATCAAAAGCCATGCTTTTCCATGGATATTTCTTTGATGTTTTGGAAAGTGCAATCAAAAGCCATGGTTTTCCATGGTTATTCTTTTGATCTTTTGAAAAATACATGGTTTTCCATGACTATTTGTTTGGTCTTTTTGGATGCAGAAAAAAGAATAATGCATAATGAACATTGAACTTTTCCAAATAAAGTCTCATTTAACCTTTATGAGCACATTGTCTGAAAAATCCATATACTTTTTAGAATTTTGACTTGAAATTAAGGTGGGGGATTAAACACAAGCATATGACTGCCAACTGAAATGTGATGCCAAAGTGATCAAAAATCTATTTGTCTATGTACCAAGGTTATTATAATTATGTAATCTATTTAAAAAGAAGTCATAATCATTTGCATAATTTTTAAATATTTGGTTGTCATTGTTCTATGTTAATTAGGTTTCTTAACTCTCAAATCATGTGTTAAAATTTAATCTCTTTACAACAGATTATATAGTTCCTTTGCATAATTCTAAAATACCTGTATTATGATCATAATTGTTATTATTTATGATGATCTTATTCTCCCTAGTGCTTCCTCTTCAGTAATTATAATTGTCTGTGAGTGTAGACAGTGCAAGTCAAAAACTCATTGTTGATCAAATAAAACCAAATAGGATTAAAAACTCCAAGTAAACATGTCTAGATTATGAAAATATCTTTATCATAGAACTAAACATATATCTAGATTATGAAAATAAGGTGCATGGTTGTATTTCAGGCCCGTAGCCAGCTTTTGCCAAGGGGGTTGACTTTCTAAATTGACGGGGACATCATATTCTTCTCTCTATGATTAGTCTCAATCCAGCTTGGATTCATTCATTTAAACATTGATTCAATTTGGAACATTTTGGTAAATACAAAAACTGCCAAAATTGTTGATTTTACAACTCCAAGTCACTTAGTATCATGGTAAAAACATGGCATTCCATGAAAAACCAATTACCAAACCACTCATTACCATGGAAGATCATGGTAAATATCCATGGAAGATTACCATGGACTTCCATGAAATTACATGGAAAATACCATGAAAAACCATGAATTTCCATGGAAAACCATGGATAACCATGGACGGACCATGGAATATCATGGCTACCATGGCTTTTTTTTCTTAAGGGTATACTTGTATATGTCAGATTATTTTTGGTCATTGGATTTTTCTATTTTTATTGTTAAACATCTATAATTGAATAGCATAAAGTATAGAGATGCAATGCTATTTGAGTACCCTAATTTATTGAATCCTTCACCAGTGTAAAATTTTAGAAAATTGAATTCATCAGAGAAATCAGTGTGCTATTGCTTGACCATGTGTCAATTTATCACTCAATTTTTATTGATAGAAGAAAATGAAATATTTTTTCAATCCATTTTCCGGGAGATTGATGCCAGTCTGAGGACCAAAGGGAAATCAAGATCAAGGATGGACTGGCCTAAAGTTATTTGAGGTGTCCGCTTACTCAATTGCAATTTCATCTAGATTTCCCCTCAAAAATAAAGTGTCTGATTTTCTGTTTCCCCACTAGTGTCCTTGCTAATTCCACTTCCTTTCATTTTGCATTTTAAACATGGCATTTTTGTAGTCACTGGATTCCTGATTTAGTTTCTATATGTGCTCTACTTTTGTACTTTTGTTGTTCTACAATATTTGTAATATTTTGGTCAGTTTCTAAATTGTGT